AAATACTCCTATGCAAATTCATAGTTAGCATGATAACTGCATAGATGACTAGAAGTCGCACGGCCACGTGCCTCAACTGCTAACTTATCTGCCTCATTCATCCGACACACTGCTAAACACTGGAAAGTTCTTCCTGTTGACATTGCCGCTATTACCCGCCCGTGTCTTGTTGAAAATGCGTGTAAATAATCAATAGTAAACTATTTCTGGTGTAAATATTGTCAAATATTGTCAACCCACACCTCATGTCGTATCTCTCTTGGGAAACCTCTAAGGTAAATAAACTGAACTGAACTGAAGTATAACTACTAAAAACAAATATAAATGAGAAACTTTAGATTCACCAATGTGTGCGATTTTCCTTGAGCGGATAGTGTTCCAACAGTGGCAATTAAACGGAGGCTTCACGCCTTCATTTTATTTTTGCAAATGCACCCAACAACTCACTCAAGGAGACTGCAAGTTATCTACGAATGGTCGGACACGTATTGCAAGAAAAAAATGTCACGATAACATTCAATGCGCTGTTGGCTGATCTGGCAGCCGAACTAGAGACCTTCCGTGACGCTGATACACCACTGGATGAAAATACCTCCGAGTACTTCTTGAAGAAACTCCGCAGGGTAGTGGAGAACGTCGCTAAGGCCGTTGTGGTGAACCAAGCTGTGGGTGCGGTTGCTGGATGGATGGGATAATTGTGAAGCAGCTTTAATCCTGCCCGATACATTAGGAATAAAATAAATACATGTCCGTGACAAATTTCATCTCACATGCTTCGTCATTGTATAATGCAGAAGTTGCAGCTATCCGACGTATATATGCCAAGCTGCTTAGGAGCGAGCAAGTGCTAATAAACACAAAATATGTCAAAAATATTTGGTTATATTGTTGTGTCATTGCTGTAATACTATTTATCAAATGTGACTGTATAGGTATACTTCATGTTTTGCATTTAACAGCACGTTAAAAGTGTTGCAGCTAAGTGAAACAGTCACTCTAGAAGAGGTGGAAAACTCAAAAGTTAGACAGGAAGCTTCAGAAACGTATAACGCTCCTAAACGGAGAAATCAAAACATCTGACAAGAAATCAAGGCAGCAACATTGGCATAAAATTTGCAACACTATGAAAAAACAAATAAGTTTCGGCGAAACATGGCCCTTCTCCGTCTGTTATTAAACACCGAGAACAACAAAGCAGTCCATGACCAAAACAAGTTCCCCTATGATTGTACAGGTAAGGAAGATGCACTCTTGCGAGAAATTGCAAACACACACATCTCCAAAGTGCCTCCTATACTACATATGGACTATACCAGTCAGACAAATGTAACACTCCTGACGAGCAATTTTCGAGACGCACATATTCGTGCCGTATTTTAAAACCTTAACCCCAAATACGCTCCTGGTTTTTCTGTATTACAATCAAGAAAAAACGTAACTTTGACGATGAATCTACTACTCATCTTATGGACTACATTATTGCATGCTAGACTGCAGGGCATTTTTTGTCGCACGAGAATGTTTCCGAGGAGATTCTGGTATGAAGCGCGCAGCCGCTGATTATTAACAACAACAGAGAAATCTCTCTAACATCTTGTGTGAGCAAACGTATAATTGATTGATTTAAGGGGTATAACGTCCCAAAACCATTATGTGATTACGAGAGACGCCGCAGTGGAGGGCTCCAGAAATTTCGACCAATTGAGGCTCTTTAACATGCTCCTGAATCTGAGCACATGGGCCCACAACATTTCCGCCTCCATTGGAAATGTAGCCGCCGATGCCGCGATTCGATCCCGCGATCTGCGGGTCAGCAGACGAGTACTTTAGCCACTAGACCACCGCGGCGGGAAGCAAACGTATAGAACACGCCTTCTTAGGCGGAATAAACAATTACCTTCAAGGCAATGACTCTTTCTCGTGCACTATGTCAGGCTTCCGAAAGCACAATTCATGCCAGGGCACAGTGCTTCAATTGAAGCACCAAACCATGGACAGCCTGAACCAGTCAACTGAAGCTACACTAGGTTCGCATCTTGAGAAAGCGTTCGATAATGTTAATCCCAGTATAATAACCCAACCAACGCCTCCTTTATTTCAGTGCCAGTGCAGATGCGCTCTTCCCAACGAGAGCTGTTGGTCCCCCTTAATTGATAGAGTGGTCGTGGTGTGGTGCTATATGAGGGGTCGCGCTGTTCGCGCCATAGATGCATCCGAGCGATTTCCGCCGAAGATGCGTTAGACATGTTCCCCACACCAGTATAATACGTTTGTCGGATTAGTTCCTTCATGCTGCTGCTTTCTGGCTCGAGACAATGCCTCTGCCGCTTCACAGAGCAACGCATGCCGAAACGTTGCACTGATGTAGCCCGATTAGGGCCACTAACGGCGCCACACTGTCTCAAAACAGTATATTTCACTGAGTCAGTGTGACTGCCAATATTCTGAACACGAGAAATGTAAGGCACCACATCACGGATCTCTATACAACTGAACAAAAAATTACTTAATATGATTTACGTCGTTGGGCACTGCATGAGGGGATCCTTTCTTCTGTGACCACAAAGGACACCTTAAGGCTAGGCGATGGGAGAGATCGGTGCTGGAGAAAAGGGTGGTGAACAGTTGGATTTGGCGCGCCTGGGTTCCATTGGTAAAATAGAGGAATCGTGGGTCCTGCAGGTTAACGCCTGAAACCTGAGAACTCAAACGTATACCTATAATTCCGACTTTCTCAGGAACCGAACAGCTATAGTCAAAGGGAGCGCAATGACATCATTTCAGGAAGATAAACGCGAGAAAAGCTGAGAGCTGGTGCCACTTTTTCCCGCTGACGTCATCATTTTAAGAATGGTAAGTATATAATAATAATAATAATAATAATAATAATAATAATAATAATAATAATAATAATAATAATAATAATAATAATAATAATAATAATAATATTAATATTAATAATAATAATAATAATTTTTTCATTAACGAGTAGAACAACAATATATGACGATTCAAAACTGCACCTTCAAAGGAATAACGTATAGAAAAAGCCGTAAACTATAAGCATTACTTTCTGTAGTGCGAATCCTGAGACATTTCACAAGAAAGTGTGATTGCGGCCTCAATTTAGTTATCTTCATTGAATGCAATTTTCTTTTCGTCTCCTGCTAATAGGAGAAGTGTGTACCTTAATATCATCGGTGGAAAACACCATTTTTCGAAAAGAACCCATTGACTTTCTACAGTTTCCTACCCTTATTTAGCAAAATATATTCAAATAAATGTTCTATTGAGCTACATAAAAGATATATGATTTCCCTTGAATTCAACACGCCTTCTTTTATGCGAAAAACTGATGAGAGACTCTCTTTGCTCTTGAAGAAAACAAACTTGTAAACGCGATTTTAGTTTCGACGTGAGGAAATGATAAATGAGGTGACCAGAAGTTTTTTGGAGTACAATGTTTGTGACCTTGAAACCATCAATACTTGCAGCAGCATTTACATCTGGCTAACAGAATCTTTATCGCATAAGCTCTCTGAATTTTCTGTCACTCATCAAACAATGTGGCTTTACCGAATTCATCACCACCTAAATTTTTGGAAGTAGTGCTAAACATGAGCCGTCTTACAATATAATAAACATTGTTGAAACTTGAGAATAGCAGTCGCAAGACTTCGTTTCGACGACAATACCCTTGGCTGTATACCCAAGAAATGGCACAAGAGCATGATGCTGCTTGTGACTTTGATGACCTATATGTATGGCTCCCACTTTCCATTAGAGAGTTGCTGAGAGACAAATAATGAAAAAGAAGTGATCACCTATCATACATGAGTTCTACTTATATGAATTTAAAAAGTGGGGAAGTGAAAATATTGATAGCAGTTTACATATTTGCGATCAAAACAAAGCAGACGCTCCAACGCCGTCTCCTTCGAAAAGCCAGAAGCTGCTCCTCGTGCTGCTCCCTTCGTTCTTCTGTCGCCTTGGCGGCTGTTATGGATGACATTTCAATCTTTCAATAATCGTTGAAGGTTTGACAGAGCTTCTTTTCCTAATCAAAGTTTCGATGAACTGCGTTACAATGTCCAAAAGACACGTGCCTTTAATATTTCTCCCGGTTATAAATTTACGTTTTACAAAGAAATCGAGACGCTGACTAAGTAATTTTGCTTGGGCAAGACAGTTTACTATATTTTGAGCTTTCTGGAACACAGTCACGTATTACGTTACTGTGCGAAAGGGTTTAGACAATTCAGTTTATGAATACTCCACAACAATTACGACGGGAAGCTCTCCTTGAGTTGATTCTTCGCCTTTTATATAACTGACACTCTACTATTTAGTTCAATTCTAAGACGTCATTATTTCAGCAGAACTAGGCAGGAGAATGTGACGGATGTCATTTGCAATTTATATTTCGGTTAGATGCCCTGACTTTAGTAAGCGAACACGTTTTAGCATATATGCGAAGAGACGTATTATACCGCACCTTCCAAATTACTGCATGGTTTGGTAGACCCAGACAAAGCGTATAGATCCGTGCTGATCAGCAAACTGTTTTCTCGTTTCAGAAAGAACAGCAGCCTTCTGAATATACTATTACTCATTAAATGAAACTAACCTTTGTAGATGACAGCTGACACTGACCCACTGACCTTTCATCAATCCCAATCCACATGTGTAAGACAGTTATACCACGTGAGTGATAAAGAATTTCAGAACACAATCAGAAATATATCAGTGTTTTCCCGTGATCCATGCGCATTGTGTTTGCCTTCCTCGGCAAGATAGGAGGGGCGTTCTGCAGGGGTTTTCCTGGCCTGGTGACCAGCCAGAAAGAAACGGTGAGACTTAATAGAGTGCCTACGTTATCGTGGTTTGAAAATACAGTGTACTTTTGCCACACGTGTTTTGGTCTGTGTCTCTCTGTGTAGTTTCCCGACAATGAAGAACTGCGGCGAAATCAATTTTGTTATCTGTGTTTTTCCAGCTTCATACGTTTCCCATTTGTTTTTCCTTACAATTGCCTTTAAAAGCCCGTAAAGCTGCTGGTAGCACGCAGAGTTTTAGTCGCAGAAACCCCGCCTACGTGGACAGAGTGAGTACTCAGAGAAACAAACGCTTTCACATAAAAAGTGCAGTAGAGAAGTCTATCTTAGTATAAGGCGTATTTCGGTATGGTTTACTTTTGGTTTTTTTTTAAGAATTTATATGCGCACCTTTCTATGGATTTCGCAGTTTGTGTAGCCTGTAGAAAGAGCTCACCCGCAATGTTTCATATTCCTGACGCTGGTGCTGTTGTGAGAGTCTTTAGGGCATCGAAAGTTAATGTGGAATGAACTCAATGCCAGCATATACGTTAGGTTAACCGTAGTTTCAAGCTGTGTGAGCCAAAGCGAACACATGCTTACGAAGTACGCGGTATATGAAATTGTGTGTTAGTCAGGGCCACTTGTGCTTCTTTGTTGTGCACTGTGACCATAAGAAAACCAGTGTTCGTGGATTTTTGCAAATGTGAATGCATTTGCTGTGGTGGTGATTAGTAGGTGGAGGCTGGAGCTAACGTGCACAATATATGATGAGCTAAGCTTCCACGACGGGCGATGAGACATAACCATTTAGAGTGTGTGCATCAGTGGCTTCCATGTAGCTCATTGACTGGTAAAGAAAATGCAATTCATTTCAAAACAATTTCTCGATGCAGCCTCGCAAGAATTAAAGCATCTCAAAACACACGGGACGTTTTGGACTTTTGAAACAAACTGATATAAGTACGTTGCGCTTTATAATTTAACAGCGTCTCGATCACCAAAGGCTGCAGGCCTAGGCTTGAAATGCGCACCACAAAAACCAACCGATTCTCACAATAATATTTCATCCGCCTCCTTAAAACCACTTTTCAGTTCGAGGTTCCTAAAAATGAAGGCTGCAGTTCTCGTTTCCCTTCTGACTCTGGTTGTCGCCGCTCCTTGCATCGCTTACACCATAGGTGAACTCAAGGAGAAAGGTAAGTGGAGTTATCGCTAACTTGCGTATACAGTTCAAAGACCACCTATTAGGGCACATCATTTGTTGCTGATGTACATACTTTTAATATCAACTGGGCGGAGCTTATAGGTGCATGAAATCACCTGTTTGCAGTAAATAGAACTTGTATTTTACAAGCAAAATTAAAAATTGCAAGCCGGCTTGCAGCTTGGGAAAGGCTACATAATTTATTTATCAAAAGAGCATGCAAAATACTCCCATGTAAATTCAATCTTAGCATGATAACTGCAAAGATGACTACAAGTCGCACGGCCACGTGCCCGAACTGCTAACTTATCTGCCTCATTCATCCGACACACTGCTAAAGACTGGAAATTTCTTCCTGCTGACATTGCCGCCATTAGCCACCCGTGTCTTGTTGCAACTGCGTGCAAATAATCAATAGTAAACCAGTTCTGGTGTAAAGCTTGTGAAAGATTGTCAACCCACACCTCATGTGGTATCTCTTTTGGGAAACCTCTAAGGTAAATAAACTAACCGAACTGAAGTATAACAACTAAGAAAAATATAAATGAGACTCTTTAGATTCACCAATGTGTGCGGTTTCCCTTGAGTGGATAGCGATCCAACGGTGGCATTTAAACGAAGGCTTCACGCCTTAATTTTATTTTTGCAGATGCACCCAACAACTCACTCAAGGAGACTGCAAGTTATCTAAGAATGGTCGGACACGTTTTGCAAGAAAAAAATGTCACGATAACATTCAATGCGCTCTTGGCTGATCTGGCAGCCGAACTAGAGACCCTCCCTAACGATGATACACTACTGGATGAAAATACCTCCGAGTACTTCTTGAAGAAACTCCGCAGGGTAGTGGAGAACGTCGCTAAGGCCGTTGTGGTGAACCAAGCTGTGGGTGCCGTTGCTGGATGGATGGGATAAATGTGAAGCCGCTTTAATCCTGCCCGATACTTTAGGAATAAAATAAATACATGTCCGTGACAAATTTCATCTCACATGCTTCGTCGTTGTTTAATGCAGAAGTTGCAGCTATCCGACGTATATATGCCGAACTGCTGAAGAGCGAGCAAGTGCTAATAACACACAAACTATGTCAAAAATATTTGGATATATCTTTGTGTCATACCTGCAATACGTTTTAGCAAATTGTGACTGTAGAAGTATACTTCATGTTTCGTATTTAGCAGCCCCTTAAAAGTGTTGCAGTTAAGTCAAGCAGTCATTCCAGAAGAGGTGGAAAACCTAAAAATTAGACAAGAAGTTTTGGAAACGTATAACGCTCCTAAAAAGAGAATTCAAAACATATGACAAGAAATCAAGGCAGCAACATTGGCATGAAATTTGCAACACTGAAAAAATAAATAGGTGTCGGCAAAACAGGACCCTTCACTGTCTGTTATTAGACACCGAGAACAACAAAGCAGTCCATGAACAAAACAAGCTCACCTTTGATTGTACAGGTATCGTAGATGCACTCTAACGAGAAATTGCAAACACATGCATCTCTAAAGCGCCTCCTACACTACACATGATTTATGCCAGTCAGACAAGCGTAACTCCTGACGAGCAATTTTCGGGATGCACATATTTGTGCCGTATTTGAACACCAATACACAAAATACGCTCCTGATTTTTCTCCATTTCAAACAAGAAAAAACGTAACTTTGACGATGAATCTACTAGTCATCTTATGGACTACAATATTGCATGCTAGACTGCAGGGCATTTGCTCTCGCAATAGAATGTTGCCGAGAAGATTCTCGTATAAAGCGGGAAGCCGCTGATAATTACTAACCACGGAGAAATCTCTCTAACTTCTTTTATGAGTAAACGTATAATTGATTGATTTAAGGAGCTCCACGTCCCGAAACCACCATATGATTACGAGAGACGCCGCAGTGGAGGGCTCCGGGAATGTCGACCACCTGGGGTTCTTTAACGTGCACCCAAATCTGAGCAAACGGGCCTACAACATTTCCGCCTCTACCGGAAATGCAGCCGCCGCAGCCGGGATTTGATCCCACGACCTTCGAATCAGCAGCCGAGTATCTTACCCACTAGACCACCGTAGCGGGAGGCAAACGTATTGAACACGCCTACTTAGGCGGAATAAACAATTACCTTCAAGGCAATGACTCTCTGTCGTGCACAATGTTAGACTTCCGAAAGCACTATTCATGCCAGGGCACATTGCTTCAAGTGAAGCACGAAACCATGGACAGCCTGAACCGGTCAACTGAAGCTACACTAGGTTCGCATCTTGAGAAAGCGTTTTATAATGTTACTCCCAGTACAATAACCCAACCAACGCCTCCTTTATTTCAATGCCAGTGCAGACGCGCTCTTCCCAACGAGAGCTGTCGTTCCCCCTTAATTGAGAGAGTGGTCGTGATGTGGTGCTATATGAGGGGTCGCGCTGCTCCCGCCATACGTGCATCCGAGCGCTTTCCGCCGAAGTTGCGTAAGAGATGTTCTCCACACAAGTTTATTACGTTTGTCACATTGGCTTCTTCATGCTGCTGCTTTCCGGCTTGAGACAATGCCTCCACCGCTTCACAGAGCAGCGCATACCGAAACGTTGCAGTGACGCTGCCCGATTAGCGCCACTAACGGCGACACATTGTCTCTAAACAGTATATTTCACCGACTCAGCGTGACTGCCAATATTCTGAACATGAGAAATGCACGGTGCTACCTCACGAATCTGTACACAACTGAACAAAAAATTACTTCATATGATTTCCGTCGCGGGGCACTGCATGAGGGGCTACTTTCTTCCATGACCGCAAAGCACACCTTAAGGCTCGGCTATAGGAGATATCGGGAAAAGGCTGGAGGAGAGGGTGGTGAACAGTTGAATTGTGCGCATCTGGGTACCATAGGTAAATTAGAGGAGTCGTTCGTCCAGCATGTTAACGCCTGAAATCCGAGAACTCAATGGTATACTTATATTGCCAATTTTCTCAAGAACCGACCAGTTATAGTCATAGTGAACGCACTGACACCATTTCAGACACCCATAGGAACCACGGGAACACAGCAGAGTGCCATTATATCTTCTAATCTATTCAACTTACCTGTTCTCGGCTTTCCGTCAAAGCTATTCGTAATTATCGGGCTTCATCACAGCTCCTATGCCAATGATATTACCTTGTAAATAGGCGACAGCAGCGATGACTGTATAGAAGAACGACTACAGGAAGCGGTATACGTGGTGGAACAATACCTACCCGAAAGAGAGGTCTCTTCTTCGGTGGAGAAGCCTGAAGTCCTCTTATACGCCCCCCACTGAAAGGTGGACCGCCGACCCATACAGTCCAACATTTTCGTTGCAGACATTAACCTGAAGAGAGCCGATGAACGTTTCAGCGCTTCTTATTGAAAGGAGACGTGCTAATGTTGGTACAATCCACAAATCAGAAGGTAAGGTCATGGAAATAATGCTATTCAATAGAATAGTCACTAACAAAAAGCAGGTCATGAAGAAAAAGCGTATTCTCTGGCTTTCTTATGCTTTCGTCCTCTGCCACATTGCCTATGCCGATGCCTACCACCTCTAGGATTTGTGGCAGAAAAAAAAAAACAAATCTGCACAGTACTAGCAAAAAACTTCTACATAAACTCATGGCTACATAATCATAACACGCTTCATACCACGCTTGAAGAAATATTTGAAGCGCAACACATCTCGCCGTACGAGTGCCTAATCAATGCCAAAGCAGGTCACCAAATTTTCGAGTCTCGGCGCTTGTTTTCACGCAACACATCACATCAAATACAACATACCATGTGAATGTTGCACTAAAGTTGTAATACCACTATTGTCAAACAACACGCATCCATAGCACAACAAAGACAGAGGTGCCAGTATAGAGCCACAGCGCTGCTCCACAAATTATGACGCAATGACGAGGTGATGTTTGTCGGGGCAGCTTGTTATAGAGACAATCGCCGCTTCAGCGCTGCTGTTGTAGACCATACGCACAAACGCATTACGAGCACTTTGATGAACACAAATCACGTGGAAATGACAGAGGATGTCACTATCACGCTGGCGATAGTTTACGCCATTGCTCACTTTAATATCACTGTCTCAGGAACAGCTGTCCAAACTTTTGCAAGTTGTAGGACATCTCCCGTGGCAATCTCCTTACGAAAGCCGAAACTCACTTTGACGACCAAAATGCCTACATCCTCTGGTTTCCCACCAACACGCCTGTCGACCAAACTCAAGTCAACTCTAACGAGGTGGCCCACGACATGACTCGAGGTCTAACGTTCCGAGCTCCACGTGCGGTTGACACCCCCTATACAGTCTCTCTTGTAGAGTAATCGGAGGGAATGATAGTCTATTCTAATCCATCAGTATTGCCCATCAATATAATCTTCAGTTAAAGAAGAAGGGATTAATCTCGCCTCTCCTCAAGAGCAGCCATGCCAGTACTTTTATTGACACTATTGGCACTATTTAGAAACATGCCCTTACACTAATCCCGTAAATATTAAAACACATTTACCCCCCTTTGGTCGTGAGCAACTCGCGCAAGAACTGCACTACTTGTACAACGCTCTTTTTTTCCTGTTTGTAGCACTTTCTTCGGCCTGCCTGCTCATGCCAAAAGGTTGAAAAGAGTGTTACACACCCTTCATCATGGCCATGAGTAGCAATCCTCTCTAACGCTCCCAGATTTCAAGGCACAGCGGCAGATGAATTTGATAATTTGTTACTCCTCTTCTTGATGATGATGATGGTGTTGATGATGCTTCAAATATGGCCCATACTCACTGAGAGAGATCGGCCAAGAGTTGATTACCCGAGTTATTGAGACATTTTCAGTATTGAACATATATGATAGATATGTGGGGTTTAACGTCCCAAAACCACTATATGATTATGAGAGACGCCGTAGTGGAGGGCTCCGGAAATTTAGACCACCTGGGGTTCTTTAACGTGCACCCAAATCTGAGCACACGGGCCTACAACATTTCCGCCTCCATCGGAAATGCAGCCGCCGCAGCCGGGATTCGAACCCGCGCCCTGCGGGTCAGCAGCCGAGTACCTTAGCCACTAGACCACCGCGGCGGGGCATTGAACATATATGAGAAAAATACCTTACGTAAAACGAAAACAGTGCCAGAGTTGTTTTTTCTCCCGTTCAGGTCAGATTGATTGATTGATTTGTGGGGTTTAACGTCCCAAAACCACCATTTGATTATGAGAGACGCCGTAGTGGAGGACTCCGGAAATTTTGACCACCTGGGGTTCTTTAACGTGCACCCAAATCTGAGTACACGGGCCTACAACATTTCCGCCTCCATCGGAAATGCAGCCGCCACAGCCGGGAATCGAACCCGCGACCTGCGGGTCAGCAGCCGAGTACCTTAGCCACTAGACCACCGTGGCGGGGCCGTTCAGGTCAGACAGCATAGTAGTTATCTTGACTACAAATTATACGGTTCAAAACTTTTAGTAATAGAAACATCACTTTTGATCTTAAACTATTGATGTATAAATTGGACACAAATTGTCAGACAGTCTCATTTTTTTTTGTTTCGTCAAGGTAACCACAAACGACCTCAGAAGCGTTCTTGCGGCTCAAGCCCAAAGCCAAGGCACCAAAGGGAAGTACTTTCTCAGTTGAGATATTCAGCCCCACCTTAGTGAATCGGATAACAACTCTTTTTCTCAGTAATGTGTGCCACCGACATGACAAAAAATATAGTTTTACTGTTTTGGTTTCCAAACGAAAGTTGCATTGAGCAGATATCTCAAGAGCAGCCCTGTGTTTAACAAGAGGACAAATTCAACAGGAGGGCACGACATCGTAATCTCATTAATATGACTTCAAATTGTCTAGCAGGACCACATTGATATTATTACGAAATTTTAAAGTAACTTAACTCTGTCCACGACATTACCGATTGCATAGCATCTGCATGAAGCGAAATTTTTATATCTTCTCGCTGTTATTCTGGCTATTTCAAGAAAGACCCA